ATAAATCACTAAATGATTCTGAAAGCATACAACTACATTTTGTTACCATATTAGTATATGTACTGAATAATACAAATTAAGATTATATTTGCATTTCCAAGAGCAACTGCAGCAATTTGTTTCCAGGTGAACAATTCTTTTTATTTATACAATATTGCACTTACAGTAAATTAGCAATAGATTTCTAATAAACCAAAATTTCTCCACACTGCAAAACAAAAAAAAAACATTAGTACAACTGCTAACAAGACTATTGTCTCTGTATAAGACCTATTTTCAAAAAAATAACCAAAAACTGCCAAGGAAATTATTTAATTCCTCAGAACCAGAAGGCAACAATGCATTTTATTAGTTCTCAAATTGCTAGGATCAGGGTTATCAATTAAAAGCTTGCATAATAAATCAATAACACATGACTAACACTAGAATAAATGTAGATTCCACTTTCTACAGACTGGGATTTTGGTGGGAAATTTTATTGAGGTTTCAAAATCTCTGAGCACCATCACTAGATAAAATTAATTAAGGACTACCTTCGCAATCTTCTTACTAAAAATAACAATTAAAACATATAGTGTGTTAGAGTTTCACGAAAAAGAAAAAAAAATCAACTCTGCTTGGTATAGCAAAGCCCCCAGACTAACCCCTGAAGGTAAAAAGCTCTGCTAGAAGCCTTTTCTTCATACCCAGAGCCCACTGAACTGGGACAACACTTGGGAACAGACCTGTATTCACTTTACAGCTTGCATTTCTGTCCTGCTTGTTTCAAGTTGAGGATTGATCCCCAAAACAGAAGTCCTCTAAAGGACTCTAAAGTCACAGCATTACCTCCCAGACCAACAGGCCTTAGCACCGACTAGCCAGCACCGCTTCCTGCTCCTCAGACTCTGCCATGACTCCAGGTACGAGACTCCCAGAATGCAAAAGGCATTTCTGCCTTACAGGGCCCTAGACAGCAGCCAGGCTGAGACTGCCACAACACAAACATACACTTTATTTCCTGACACACAGAGCAAACATCACCAGAACCCAGAAATCTTGAAGGAGCTGTGCCTTAGCCATCATTGTGACAGGAAAGCGATGTTGTTGAGCTGCACAGGCCCTCTCAGAAACCACAAGAGAGAACTGGGGTACCTGCCACAATATATATATTACATGGAGAAGTCTCCCATCCCCACTTGAAGCAAACACAACTAGTTGGAATTTAGTTAGCTGTAGTAAAAGGAGGTGGGAGAAAGGACACGAATGTAGCAAACAACAGCACTGGTCTGCAGCTCTATGGACAGGGACCTGCAGCTCTGCAGAGAGGTACTGCACCTGAGGGAACAAGGGACAATTGTTCCTCGTCAGCACACAAGAAATACTATCTTCTTTGGTGCTCTCAACCACAGCAAAAGCCTTTTTTCTGGGCATAGCCCTGAAGACACAAAATTTAAGGCCAGACAGCCCAAGGCAATCCTGTATATTGTGCCTTCCGAGAGCTGACTCCTCTGGCTCCCTGTGCAGTGGCCGTGGCAGAGACAACACTCGTTGACAAAGTGAGACTATCACATAGGCCAGCAAGGTATGAGCAAGAGCAAGACTGCCTGCACACTACTGCACTGGTGTGAAACACTAAGGATTAAGCCTTCCATGGAATTGCTATCATGAACTACAGATGGAAACTCGTTTTACACTTAATTGTCCCTCTACAGAAAGGAACTCAGCAGCCAGTCTGTCAGTAAAAGCAACAGGACCTTCTAGTCCACTGTCAGAAACTGAGAGAGCAGCAAGTAACAGGAAGTAAGATTCCTAAAAGGGATGCAGAAAGCAACAGGGAAAACTGTCTCTGCCACAAGGAGAAGGAATATGTCAGAGATAACCTCACACTGTGTAGCAACCTGCCACCTGATTGCAAAATGGACCACGTCAACAGATGATGGGAACAGACCCTATGAGAAATGGGCTTGCCACGAGCGCATCTCATCAACCTGCAGCAGCTGAGACTTGTCTCTTTCAAGCTTTGTCAGTGTTGTGCAGCTCACTGTGCTAACACACAGCCATTTCAGGAGCAGCAAAGCCTCTACAGACCTATGCGGTGTGTTGACAGGGATGTGTACGCACAGTCAGACACTTGTACATGAGAGATTCTTCCCTGCCCCAGACAGATTTCCTGTGCAAGGCAGGAACCACCATTCACAAATAGAATCTCAGTATGAGATCGACACGCACAGTTAAACCCTCTGTGTGTCTGCAACCCTGTGTTTGGGGGAGGCCTGGCAGGAAAAAGGGTCCCTACTGATCTAACGATGTGGAAAGTCCCTCATCAACTGATCTCTTTCCTACTCGCACAGAAAAGGCTGCCCAGCCGTAGCTGTGCAGCCACTCGGTGCTCCGAGGCGAGGGTGCAGCGCGTCCCCCTGGGACAACAGGAACCCCCAGATCAGCAGCTCCAGGCTGAGCACAGGAGACTGCGACACGGCAGCACGAAGCACGGCCCGGGATCCTGCGGGAGGCAGACCCTGTCGTGTCAGTGCCGGCCCTCAGCAGATTCCTCTATGAGCTGCAAACGAGGAGGGCCAGGGACCTCCGGACACTGCCCCAGCCCCGTCCCCGGAGCGGGATCCCCGCGGGGCTGCCCACAGGTGCTCCCTGCCCTGCGCTGCCCCACCGCCGGGAAGCGGGGGGGCAAGAGAGCCTGAAAGAGAGATGTCGGAGGCAGGGGAACACGAAGAGAAGGGGTACCGAGGGGAAGGGGATGCCTGAGGCGGGGGAGCCGGAGGGCAGGGNGTGCAGCCGCTCCCGCTGGGACCGCAGGGCCGGGCCCGCCTCGTCCGTGCACACCGGCACCCCGCGGGCGCTGCAATGGGAGTGGGGAGCAGAGGGACCGGGGCCCGCGAAACGCTGGGTGAGACTATGGAAAACATCGCACACGGCTCGGAAGTTTAGCGCTTCACGGCGAGCTTCAGCCGCAGGCTCCCCAGCACTGCTGCTTCAAGTGCAGTCTTGGGCCAAGATTTGACTTAGCTAGCACCAGGAGAATTCCAGAAAACAGTGACCCTCCACTTGGTCCTGCCTGGCTTTGACCCTTAGTTACAGACAGCACCTTCAAAAGAGAGTTCTGCCCCTCTCCCCAGTATGATAACCCCACCATCCCCTTCCACCTGCAATCCATAAACATATCAGAATATCATATTTTTTGGTATAGGTTTTTAATAGGAGTCTTACCCTTTTTTCGCCGAATTTATTATTCAAGCCAGCTACAAATTTAGCTTCTCCTAGTCTATCTGGCTCTGCATCTCAGTGGTTACATTCAACTATACCAAAACCCCAACAAGCTATGCAAATGATTGTCAAAGCCTAAATTTGCTGTACAAATGGGAACAAGAAGTTGAGCCTCCACAGTACTTGTACTGCTAAGAACAAGTGTGACATTGCCTACCAAAACAACCAAGCTAGAGTTTGTATTTTCTTCACTTCCCAGTATATCTTCCAAAAAACATGCCCATCCAAACCTGCGTGCATAAAAATCAAAATGGACAGAGAACTGATTATGAAAAATAAACTGGCAAGTAAACTTCTATCTCCCTGTTAACATTCATTTCCTTGCCAAAGCAGCAGGCCATGCCCTACATTTTGGATATCCTTTGCAGTCTAAAAGTAGATCAATAAACAGCTTCACTAAATCTGATTAATTTCCTCTGCCATGGGACATGTTCTTCAAGTCTCTCAGAGATCTTCCAGGTTGAATTACTTGTACATCAGCCAAGCAAGACGCAAAGCTGGGGGAGCAGTATAAAGGAAAGTGGAGTCAAGGCTGTTTCTTACAAAGAAGGGGGCTATTTTTCTGAGTTACACTTGAGAATTTCTTCTTTAAAGTGGCACATACATTTAACACTGTACAGAAAGACAGACAACAGATATGGTCCAGGTTCTGGGACAAAGGTCAGATGTGTATTTTCATAACATGATTACAGATCTACAGTAATTAACATAGGAGGCCATTCAGGTCACTAGAGGTAAGGCTGTGTCAGCATTTGTGCAGTAAAGCCCTATTTGTAGGAGCTTATAATTAAGCTATGAAAGTCATGATGAAGCTGGGAAAGAGTACGTTTAAAAGTGATTTTCCTTCTTTAAAGAAAAGAGATTTAAAGTGAATATACCACCTGTGAAATCAGAAAGACCAAAAGCTTTCAGTCTACAGGCAGTTATTTCAATGACTACTAGTATAAGCACCTTAGTCTTCTCTGCCTAAGTATCTCAAGCTTGTCCAAGAGCATTTTTTCAGTAGGTACTGTAATTCTTCAAGCTTAATGGCATTTACATTCTTTCATCATCATATATATCTTTCACTCCCCAAAATATTCCCTCAAAACATACTCATCCACATAGACACATCTAATAAATGTAAAGCCTAAAACCACCGCAGATACTGTGTACATGACACTGCTCCCCAACACTTCACAGTGAAAAACAGGATCAAGACCACAAGCATCACACTCAGGAATTACAAGTGAGTTACTGAATGGACCATCAAAAAAGAGTTAGGATCAGCCATGTAATTGTTTTTGCAAAGGTTTTTTGTCAGACTGCTTTATAGTCAGGAGTTCGCCATTATGGAATAATAGATGAAATATGGAAAAACTCGATTAAATAATAAACCTCTCCAAATGATTCTGTATTGTCCTGCTCCACACACATGAAAACACCACAGACTTCTGTAGCTACAAAGCCACATATTGATAGCCAGAGTCAAAGTGCAAGTAATTCTTTTGGCAGCTGTGACAAACATGCTTCAGTATGAAGGTCCAAAATGTTGACTCCAAAATTCCAAAGCCAAGGGCTTTGCACATACAAAAGTGGAAGAACATAAAGGACTTTGTTGAAAATTCTGTTTTTAATCAAACATAACTAAGCTATTTTTTGTAACATTCTAGCACTATATCACACCAAAAAGAGAAGAACAAGTAATATTTATTCTCTAGTTGATTTATAATTGAATTCAAATTCTGTTTACTTACTTCAAGTTGGCTTCTTTCACTATTGCATCCAATTGTAAGCCATACTTCCATATATATATAGGATATGCTATAAAAATACATAATTTTGTGGCATATTTATGTCAGACTAATATTTTCTCTTTATATATATTTCTAGTACATTGGATATACGAAATAGTGAATGTTTCTACATTTACTTTTACAGCAATAAAGCTCCTAAAGCAAATGCCAATGGAAAAAGTGGGAAATACTATTCTTGTTCAATAACATTCTGAATTTATGTCAGAAGCTGACCTGATCCCTGCCTGGTGTCATCTTTCATAAGAAATTAAAGATAGCAAAAGTTGAATTTTATTCTTCTCCTTTGAGAGAATTCTTCTCCTTCCTCAAACTGCCTTTTACCCCTTTGGCCTGCAGCAAGCCAATAACTCAGATGTTCTCTCAAGTCACGGTCAATGTGTTAAACCCCGCTGAACAAAGATTTTGTTCCTCAGAATCTGTTCACAAGGGGTATGTTTTATATATAAGCTGAATTACATTCAAAAAGATCAGAACATTCTCAAGGTACTTTGTAGGCACATAGCAATGATTTTGGAGGCACATACCCACCTACCTGAGCTTGACATAAAAATGGTCAGGGGTGTAAATAATTCCCACTGTCTTGAGCATCACTGACATAGCCCTGTTTGTACAAAAACAGATATGTGATAAGAAGCAGCAGCAATAATGAAGACCTAGAAATCACAGAGTTCAGGTTCATGAGGGGTCTTGCAATACTTCTCTTAGTAATTCTTTGTAAAAAATGTTCTGTTTTCTTACCTAAAGAGCACTTCCTAATTATCAAGAGTGACAGGTACTTCCTCGACCTAAATCCCAAGAAGGTATTCTGATATAATAAGCGATGCTATATATATATGGGTGCATTTCTATCTGTGCATGAAAGCTGCCACGGAGCCCTAGCATCACTTACTGGCCCACTACCACTCACATTTTTACTGTCATACCTTTCTGTCAGTTTTTGTTTTGTGATCAATATATAGCTATAATTTAAAATAAATGCTTTATTTAAACCATTTCTCTGAATACAATTCCTGTTCTAGGAAGACATCCTGGGAGGTTTGGCTTATCTCCCAGTTTAGCCATAAAACATGTCACTCTACCAGGATGGAGGGGGCTGGGAATTGCTACTGAAGTGGAGTGAACTCCACAGAGCTGTTAGTTACAAACCTTAACATGAGAACTATTTACTTTAAAATGTTCCCATAGCAGAAATATGCTTGAAGCCTAATTCATTCATTTACATCTATGTCCAATAGTCTCAGCATGTTCTTAATTCCAAAAAGAACCTGCACTCTGTCAGACCTAATGTGGTTGCCAGTAGATTTTAGCAACATAGTGAACAATTTCACACAATATTCAAAATCAGAAAGGACTGGGGTTAGATCAGTTTGCCCTCTCTTGATTCCTGCCTCAGCTCGAGCCTCAAATACACTGGTAAATAAAATACATGCACAATACACATTAATTTGAATGCTCATACTGTGCATATTTATCATAAACATATTTCTTTAATGAAGGGAAACCTTTTTAAAAATTGCAAATTATTTTCAGCTTGTTACCGGTTATTTCCATTTCAAGCAAAACAGCAAATTAATTTCTAAGCTTCTGAGGGAAACAAAATAACTGTCAAGCAGTCAAAATCCTTTTCATTCCATTTTTGTCTTATTGACCACAGAAGATGGAATAGTAATAGGTGGACCTCTCAAACTGCATTTCATACTACTAAAAAAAAGATATGAACTATCTTTACGTATGAAGAGGAAGATCCCATTGATACAACTTATTCCTAAGACTTTTTTCTCTGTAATTAGAGAAACTATTCTGACAAAAAGGTAAAAAAGGGGAGGGGAAAACACAAATTCTGGCAGCAGTGTCTCCTCTCTCCATTCTTCCTCCCTAAATGAAGATAAATAACCATCTGGATCACTGTACTGCCTTTGTGACAGGTGGTACTCAGTTATGTTTCTCATTTGATTGGAAAGTGGTAATGGCTCTTTAGCAGCTCTTTCTTTTGCTAATATACTCTGCCTGAAATCATTTACACTATGTTAATTCATTTGAAATATGATCCAAAAAGATTCAGTACTGATTGGGATATATCCCTCAATTTCAACATAATCTCTTTTTTCCTATTGGAACTCAAACTGGAAAAAAAGTACTCTAATAATTGTTTCAGTAATATAACTTCTCACATTGTTCAGCCAAAAGAAGGAATGCCAAAGAAATATGTCTGTGTCCACAGCCCAATCCTACAAATCCTATGACACAGGGAGACAATCTGTGTTGGTAAAGAGATATTTGTTACTTTCTTAATTTTCCCCAAAATGGATCCTCTACCAAAATTCATTAATTTTATGGTATTCTGACTCTAAGACAGGTATTTGACTTTTGCTGTAAGGTCATTATTAGAGAATACTATTTTAAAATCTAAACTAAAATCAAGATGTGTTAGAGACTCTCAAAATAATACATGTAATTAATCATTATATTAGTTTGCTAATTATTAAGATAGCCACTCTTAAGCTTATTTTTCAAGTGAACCACCCTAGGTTTATTTTTTAAAGTGAAAGAAATTCCTCAGACATATCATCCATTTAATCCTGCTTTGTAAATAAAATATGTTGAATCAGGCCCTGATTAGTCACTGACCTAAATAATCCTTCAGAAAGATTAAGCGATCTTAATTTAAAACCTGCAAGGGGGGGATAATATATTGTTTCTTGCTCAGTTACTCTAACAACAAACTATAACTAAATGTGTATCTCACAGAGGGATCACAACATTTATCTAGATTGAGCTTCAAGTGGTTGGATTTTGCTACATCAAGGCCAAGAAGTCCTCTTGCATCAGGAATGGTTTCTCTATATGGGTAGGGACTGTGTTAGCACTTATCTTCCTTTATGGTGCTTTTAATTCTCTGCTTCTAATCCTTCTCTGCACCATTGTCATGGCTCCTCTGAAGTTTCCAATTTGCAGGGGAACACCGCAACATCACAAAACTTGGCCTGTCAGTGTAGCATTAGGAAGCCAGACTATCTGCCTTTGACCTCTGGATCACCCCCTGTTTTCCACATCACGGAACATGATTGCTCCCTTAAGCATTGCACCGCGAGGAGAGCTCCTAACTGGGGCATCCACAGGGTCAGATGATGGTTATTGAGAGAGATGGATGAGGCTGGCTGCAGTTTTGTTTGTTTGCAATATTTGAAATTTGCAAGTACATGTTACAAAGTGCCTATATCTACTTTCAGCTTTTAAATCCTAGTCATATTCTCTGTCTGGCACTTGCCTTAGACTGTAATGCTTCAAGCAGGGAGTTTGTCAGCCTCCATAACAGACCAGACTGATCACGTGGCCTTACTGTGATTGAGCTAAAAGGCACAAAACTTCAGCCAAAAGCTTTTCTGTAGGTATTCATGAAACTATAGAAATAACTACATAAAATTCGTATTTTGCACATACACCTAAGACACAGAAGTTATCAGTGTTAGTCCCAGAAACAGAAGCACTAAGCTGTGTCATGCTGTAACCATTTTTCTCATTACATCTTGGGTAAGATACATTATCCCAACTGCTGGGATTTTCAACTTTGTCTTGAATTGCAGGCAACTGAGGAGATTGTTTACAACACAACTTCTGCCAAATCAATTACTCCTGGCAGAAAAAGCACCCACCTCCTCCTCAGGTTTTCCAAATACAAAGTTAATTCAAATCACTTCAAATATAAATAGAGAAAAAAGAGGAAAAAAACTGCACAGAAAATTATCTTTTAATTACAGCTTTGAAAACAAAGCTACAAAAATTACAAATATATCAATAAAAATCCCAGTCTAGACTTCATTTAACCCTGAAGTTTCTAAGTAAATCAGAGCAATGCTCTGATTACAGGTAATTTATGGAGCTGACAATCTAGCTCCCTCTCTACCCATCGCCTTTGATAGGAACCCAACCCTGACATCATGAAGTTTGCTTGGCAGGTAAGATTATTTTCTCCTCTTTTAGGACCATCTCTGAGATACCAAATAAAAGTGAATAATCACTATACTTACTATACTTTCTAATCACACATTCCATACACCCTAAGCAACCTTTTTGCCATACAAAAGGTTTTTAAAAAAGTACTTTAGAAATTATATCACATGACAATTGTTTGTTGTAAGCATGTTTTACTATTTTCACAATTTGCAGTGCTGTACTAGATTTCCACAAAAAATAGATCCACATGTAATATATTAGTAATAAAGATGACAGTGTTGGCTTTAAAAATGTTTTTGTTTCAAAATACCACCTTTGTCAGTTTTGCTGCTCTAACCACTACCTAGAGGGAAAATCTTTGCTGTGTTTATACTGTCCTACTACTGAAATAGAAATACATGTCCTTCTCATTTTTCCACATGCTACGTTTCCAGACAAAAAAATCTTACCTGAAATCCAGAATCCAGGATCACTTCACAAGAGCAGCAGCTGTCATAAACTAGCAGAGCTCCAATACAGTCAAACTGGAATTAAGACATGAAAGTGTCTCCTTACTGGAGTAGCCAACTCAAATCAAAAGCAGGAATTTAAAAAGGAACTATTTGAAAACAATAGCTACAAAGAAGTAACTATTCTCTTTCAAGAGAAATACTTCAAAGCTGAGCTTTTAAATTGTGCAAAGAGAACAAATTCATCCATGTTCCCCAATAGGCATGTGGTTGGGACACAAAAAGTGAAACCTTCATTGAATTACCAGACTCATGGAAGCCAGTGATACCAATTCCTTGGTTTTTTAAGAATTTTGCCCCTTTGGGAAAACACTTTTGGCCTAAAGAGCAGTGATCAGTGATTCAAAACCCTACTGCAGACAGTTAGTGTGTAAGTGATGTTCATTTTCAGTCAGTCAGTTTTGGGATGGATCCTGTGTCTAATGCTTCAAGTGTTTAACATCGGTCACCTCCATGATGGCAAACTGGAGGAGTGGGCTGACAGAAACCTCATCAGGTTTAGCAAGAAGTGCAGAGTCCTGTACCTGGGATGGGTCAGCTCTATAAGGTGAATTATCAAAATCACAGCCAGCAAGTGCAGGAATGGGATTATTCCCCTTGGCACTCAAATCTGAAATAACAATGCTCTGAGTTTGGGCCCCCAGTACACAGAGGAAGATCAACAATCCATTCAAATTATATATTTACAGCATTGTCAGCCTAAATGTCCAAGAGCAATATATACCTTATATACAGAAAAAGGCATTTCTCAGCTATAATAACTCACATCTCCCTAAGATAAACATTTAAAATTATTCATGACCTAGGAGTACTTGTTCCTCTCCAAAAACTTCAAAAGGATTTCACACAAATTTCTCAGATACTTTTAGCCCCATTTGAGTCATCTAACACTGTCAGAATAACCCCGTCCAAATTGTCGTGCATTACACATGAAAAAAGAGAGTTTATTTACAAAGTAAATAGCAGTATAATGTCTGAACTCCAACTGTTTATCCAATTTTGACCAAAGGTAAACATACCAACCACAGAACTGAGCTCAAAATTTATGCTCACAAGAAGAAGCTTTAAACTCAAGTACTCTTGTACTTTCCTCCATGTGATGAAAAAATATAATATTAAAATTCCAGCTATAAAGAGAAAACTGAGGAGTACTAACATGGCAATATTTAGGAATTCTTTTTGTGACATTAAACACATAGATAAAATGGCTTATATTAACTCTTACCAAAGCAGTAGAGAACTCTTATCAGAGTTCTGAAAAATCTTACCTGCATGTCTATGGACTTTTAAGACAGTGAGTGTACAGTTTCTGTATCTCATTTACCTATAGGATCTTTAAAACTGTTAATAGATTTTTTAAAAAGACACAGAAGCCATTTAGTACATGCAGTCTCTTTAAATTTCTGCAAATACCACATTATTTCTAGATTAGTAACTGTCAGGACCCAGCAGCAAATTCACTCTGTAGGACTGCATTACACCCAGCAATGCCAGTACTAGTTCTCTAATCTAAGAAATCATTGCCTGTTCCTAAAAATCGTGGCCAACATGTTGACACAGGTGAAATATTTTACCACCTGCCAGCAGGACCAGAAGCCACCAAAGCTTCTAGAATTTCTCTAATACTCCAACTGCACACATGAAAACATATAAAAGTGAAAGTGTGAGGTTATCAGGACCACCTGAAGTATCAAACATAAATATCACAGTGAGACAGCTGCACTGTTGCAAACATGCCTTGAGGCACTGCCACATAATTCAGCCTTGGCGTCAGTCTGCGTGTTTAGAAAACAGGGATGGACTGATTCAAGCCTTGACCAAAATTATGACATAAACTTTGTCAAACATCTCAAAGACTGTGGGACACTAATATCTAAACTGGCTAAAGCAACAAAGATAGCTTCTCATCTCCTGTGGTTCCCACTCTGATATGTCCGTATCAAAACAGAACCATGGTACAATTTCCCCCCAGAGTCCTCATTCCCAAAAAGAGGGAATTGTCATGGGAAGCTGTAGTGTGTCACAGGTGAGAGAAGAGGGACACCAAAAGCACATGTCTTGATCCCAGTTACCTCAAGAAGCACTTACAACAGAGAGACTGAAAAGTGCATAGATGTCAGAGTCCTCTCAGGAGAACAAATTGTTTTGCCCTACCCTAAGAATCAATGGTCATCAGGATAATCCTGCAGGTCTCAGCTGTAAGACAGTCACATCTCTAATGTCTGGCATCACACCTGCACTACTTTCATAAAACCTGTATTTTGCTTGAAGTTTGCTGGTTTTTGCTGGACCTCATCAAAAGACCACATGTTCAGCAGTGGACATTTTTGCCTACCGCACTGAGAGGTGTTTTCTGTCCCGACAGACTTATGTTTCTCAGACCAAGATACAACTGTGCACCTTTAATCATAATTGAACTTTAATATTCAGGGTTTGCAAGAGGTTAACAGGTTTAGGGGAAGAGCATTTTTTTGTATGCCAGAGCTCCTAGCATAGTTTCTATTTTAGTATATTTCTTGGTGTTATTTCAGAAAATATAACTGTTTCTATCACTGCAGCACGCTCAATCATATCTGATCCACACCTAAATTACTAAGACTGCAGTGGAACTGCAGTAACACCGAACACACTCTAAACCATTGAGGAATTAGTCTTCCATTTCCCTGATAACTACCATGACAGCCTAACTGATGAGCAACTCCCTGTAAGATCTTCTATGATGATTTATGTTTTGAGACCATTCAGAAAGAGAAAAAAAAAATGAAGATCACACCAATGCCATTCCACATGATTCTGTAGGTCATCTTCAAAAACTTCAAAAAATTACTGAAAAGGGTTCTAACAAATCAACATGGAAGCTTTGGCATTTCCCCATGATGAGAAAAATTATAAGGGTGTGACAATATGTAATTAATATTTCATTCAATACTAAATTTTGGTAACAAAATTCAAATATATTTTCTAATAGATAAAAAGAAAACTAGCTTGTATATCAAAGGTAAATCTAGCCCAAGAAATGCTTGTGAGAAATTGTCACAAGTTCTGCCATTTCTTTTAGTTCATGTACAAACCCTCGGGTGAGTACATTTTCACCTTAGCCAATTGCTGCTGTTTGTCCAAATCACAAGGCTACCATCAATCAGAAAATAATACAATTTAATGCCTAGAGGTAGTGAAAAACAATTCAATGGAAAACATTTTTCTCTCCCTTGTGAAATGCCTGTAATAAATTGTCCATTTTCCAGGCAGGACAATTCAGGAACGTATCACCAGTCTGGCTTAAATATATGAAAACCTTTTACACTGTCGTAAACACCTCTGGGGATATTAAATAGAAGGAAGGTAAGGTTTTCAAACTACTAATAAATTTTCTGTCAAAAAAGAAAGAATCCACAATCCAAATTTTATCGGTAGAAAAAGCATGAAGAACCCCAAGACACAGGGATACAGCCACCATCTATGGTCATTTAATGCAGTCATGATTTCGTCACAAGAGCAGCTTGTCTCAATTCACAAAATGTACTTTGCACAGCTTTTTGTAATGGTGCAAAGCCACAAACCTTGCAGGAAAGAGCTTTAGAGTCATGTCAAAAGGCAATTCCACATTTGTCTGAAACTCCATGTATTGGTGAATTATCTGAAACACGACATTCAGAGCTACAAGAATAAGTTGGTTGTGTAACCACAGATGGAGGCCTGACAAGTTCAGAACACTTGACAAAAGGGTCCTTGCAGTAAATCTCATCTGCCACTGCATACAGCCAAGATTATTTTAATAGCTATTTTTTATAGATATATGTTTCTATATTTACAGTTTTTTCTTTCATTACTGCAAATTGCAGTAAAAACATAAAATCTTTGCAGTGTATGAATACAAGACATCAGATTAACTGTTGCTCTTCCATGGTATTATTATGGGAGGTTTCCAAAAGAAAACATATTGGTCACTGCTTGTGCTTGTGATATTTGCTAGCTAGTGGCCAGACACAGCAAAGGAGGTGTCAATGTGCAAGCAGACTCATTCCATACTGCTGAGCAAGGTGCAGAATTCTGAGGTCTCACCTTCCCCTATCTCTAACACAGAGCTAGTGAAAAAAACACAAAACACAGAGTTGAAAGACCCTGCAGTAAATTGAAGTTGGTTTACCCTTCCCTGATAAAAATCAACCCAAGACATAGTAACATTTTTTATTTACAAGTTCTGTTGAGATGAAATACAAGGGATGGGACCACCATGCTTTGAGATGATTTATTGCTCAAGTAGCCCAATAAGATATCAGTCTCAAGGTGTGAGGTTTTAGAAGCAACAAGTCAGCCATAGCTCGGGGAAGTCACCTGTTTCTTCTCTGCACAGCAATATGTAACATTCTAGCCCAATAGGCAGCTGACACGAAGCTTGTTTTCACTTATTAACCTATCACCTTTGCTTCATTTTGCTGCACTGCATCTGTCTCTTGGCCACTAAGCTGACAGGTCATGTACTCATACACACACCTCTGTTATAGTGTCTGGATCTTTAACTTACTCTGTAAGTCATACTATTACAGTTTAAACTTCAAACTATTTTACCTAATATAATTTCTTACCTACTTAAGACATATTCTTACTTATAACTATAGAGACATAAGTTTATCATTTCTCTACCCAATGTCTGTGTACCTTCATCACTACATAAATCCAGACTTTTTCTAAGGCTGCAGATTTTCGGTTTCCAAAAAACTTAAACATAAGGGTTTTCCTCTCAAAGTGTATGTAGATAATTATGGAAACTGTTGACTTTTCCAGATGATGCCAGACCTTGTCCAGCTGACTCAGCTTCACTTAAATGGAAGTTCTTACCTGCCTCAAAGTGGTGTGAAGAAGCAAAGCAGTGCAGCAGTGTGCAGATGAAAGGTGACAAAAGGTAATGCATGCCACTAACCATCCCTCCCTGCTCACTTTAAATCCTTCTGTAGCTAACAACCATCTGCCAGCTGTGAAGAGAAATGAGTAATCAGTAATACACAGTCTGATTTGTAACTAAATAAATAGGGCATGACACTTCTATACACAAATCAATAATTGAAGCTTGATCAAGTAAGAAAAACTGTAAGATACTGTTAAGATCCTGTCACCCTTCAGACAGGATTAAAAGACAAAACCAATTCTTTGTGACACTCAGAAACTGATTTACCACACTAAGATAAAAGAAGTTTGAATGGCTGCAGTGTCATAGGGAATGATGGAAAATAAGAAGAGGGATAAAAGCAATTTCTATAGTTAGCTTCACTTGCCTCATGTGTTTGCTGCATCTAAGTCACACCTTGAAACAAGACCATCACAGTCAGCCTAAAACTGATGGTTTTCCCCAGAGTTTCACTTTTAAGCACATGCTACAACTACACCTCCAGAATTTCAGGTCAGAGCTGGGAATTCAGTCTTGCCCTCAGCGCAGTGATTGAGGGCCATGTGCCAAATCTAGGCCTGACCTGAGTGCCAGTAAAAACTGCCAAACACAAAATGCAGCTGTCTAAGGTCAAGTCCCAGATGTTTTGTTCAAGTAAAGCACAGACGATCTTGACCTCTTAAGAAAACTAAATGTAACATTCATGTCATGGACTAGTCAAAAAAACAGGGTTCCTACAATAAAAGCAAGAGCTATTTATTTTTGAAGGAAGATTGAAAGCCTTTGATCAATCTATACCTTTTAAGCAGACAGGAGCTGGGCCTCAGATAACTTTAAATCATACAAAATTTCCCCAGAACCATGGGGTATTGCAAAATCTGAATTGTTGGTCACAAATAATTTTTAAAAATAACATCATGGTTGTTTAAGAGTATTTACAGCATTAGGCTTTTCTCCATGGTTTCTCTGAGCTAAACAAACTAAGAAATTGTATTTGAATATCAAATTTATACAGGACTTCCAGAAGAATGGCTTGTTTTTAATATACTGCACCTGCTTGAACCTAAGAATTAAGGTCAAAAAATATTAAAAAAATATAGTCAGAAGAATTCTTCAGCAGATCCAGAATGATCCCTTAGTAAAGCTTAAGATAAATTCCTCCTCAGAAGTAGTTTGAGAGGCAACATGTGTAAGATATGCAGGATGTGCCTGTTACAAGTTTGCATCTATAAAACCTCCCTCTCTTGTCATACAAAAATCCAGCATTTTCAGCAGTTACCTAGTCGTTTGCATCCTCCTGCGTTAAAGACCGATTTTGGAATACCTTGCGTTGCCGGTGCCGTGGGCTTTAGTGCCACTCAGTGTTCAAATGCCACAACTGCAGGGAGCTGCTCCACCAGGGCATCCAGTAGCTCGATTCGAAGAGGTGTGATACTTTACTAACTCGTAGAAAACAGCGAATTTTAGAAAGAAGGCGGATGTTGATCCTTCATTTGATCTCATCTGTAGCCTCAATGCTTCTGTTTTGGAAAAGCATAAAAGCCACAGTGGGATTTTTAGAGGAAACAAACATTCAGCCTGAAATGAGACATGAACAGAAATGTAAAGAAATCACCAGCAGAGAGGAGGGGAGGGTGAAAGAAATTTGTAGGACATAGGAAAATAGACAAAGTCAGAGGAAGCAAGAATAGACATTCAGCAAACACATGCAAGCAAGAGAAGGACCAAGTGAACACAAAGAGAATGGGACAATAAAAAATCTATTAGGAGAAGTCAGGTAAGCTATTACTGCTTTGTTACTCACCTGAGCAAAAACTTATCTTCACCAAAACACCTGATCTTGAACCTTGTATCTTGAATTTTACCTAAGAGATAAAAGCAATACCATATAGTATATTTCTTTATTCTGTCCCCTTCTCCTTCCTGATTCACAGTTATTATTTTTGTTATTTTAGGTTGGATATTTTCTTTTTTTTTTTTAACCTGATTAACCCCTCAGATAATACACTTTTGAAACACCTTACCAAAATAAGGGCTCTGCTATCAATATCCTTTCTAAATGAAAGGCAAACCAACAACTAGCAGAGGAAAAAAAAAATAGAATACATTATCAGTTCTATCAACAGTAATTTCCACAAAAAAAATGTCTTAAAAGAAGTTCCCATATTATAAATAGAAGTTACAATCAGACAAAAAAAAAAGATTTTTTTTCCCCAGGCCAACAAAAAATATTTGAAAACTAAAATCGTAAGCAGAAACTAAAACTGAGTAGGAGTTCCTGCTTAGTGCAAAAGAAAAATATTATTTGTCAAAAAAATGTAAGAGGAGGCTAAGAAATGTCCTGAGAATCAAGCAAACCAAGGTGACCATAAAATACCAGAAACATTTTGTACAGGGATGCTCAGATTGTCCTCAGTGGGACACTGTCACAGCCTGCCCTGCCAGCCTCACCTGACCTACACAAACACTAATGCTGGCAAGTGGCAAAATACCAATGGGCTGCATTGTGAAAACTGATTTTTATAATATATGGACACACCATTATCCCACACAACAGCTAGCATGCAGCATCACGGTGAAGATATTTCCTTTAGCAGATTAAGCCCTCAAAAAAATTACCAATCTGAGAAACACAGAAGATCACAGAGTCCCCCTCGGCTGGCCTGAGGACATCACATGTCTGCCAGAGGAGATGGGCTGCTGCAGTATGGCTTCACAAAAGGGTGCTGAAGGAACACGAATGGTTTGAGGCTTGTGTTCTCTTTTCTGCTTGAATTTTTGTAAAATCTCTAATGAATAGAAGTTAATTAGCTACACTTAAGACCAATATACAACTACAGCCATAGGGAATAAACAGGTTCACCAGCTGCTGTATTACTTCAACTACACTGTAAATTGCTGCATGCTATTAACATGCTCTTCTGGCTTCAATAAAGAAAATCTTATTGAAATCAGTAGCACACATTTCCTATTTCAGTGAGACATTGCAAAATTAAAATGATATGTAGTAAAAACAATATGTGTGAGCCACCTGCTTACTGTATGATAGAATAGATTGGCATAGAATGACAGCTGCTGCACAGCCAACATTTCAGATACTGTACTACCTTGCCAACTGGACTTAAATTCACACACGATTTCCTTGACTAGCACTGAATGAATTTTTGCTGCTATAAATATGCATTGGCAATTGTGATGAATCATCCTGGATACTAAGGGTCATTGTTAATTCAAATATATCAAGAACCATATCCAGTGCAAAAAGCCTCCAGAACAAATATTGATGAGTCCGGACTGTTTTGATGACCTACACGTAAAGAACATGTCTTGACCCACAACAAAGGGTAATGAAGCCTGCAGGGCTTGATGGATGCTCATAGCACAAAATGCTCAATGTTAAAACCAAAGTACTAATCAATCATAGCATGGCTCCTCACACTAGCTTGGAGTTCGTGAGAATTACCATAATCAAGATCTTACAGCCTTATTTAGGCACCCAGAGCCAGATTCAAAGAGCCTGAATGCCCTAATTTCTTATACTCATCCTAGCCTATTCTACATCTGCATTTTGTTTTTAGCAGACTCAAGGCAGTTCTCAGCTCTGCCCCTGATCTGGGCTGTCTGAATCCCTTTTCAGGCTCATGTGGTTCTCGGCACTGCTCAGTCACAGCTTACTGAAAGTCAGGCTCCTTGATGTTGATTCTAATTCCCATTGATTTCAATTAGAGCCATGTGTCTAATTATGTTTGCAGATCTTTTTTTGCTGGTTTTATATTAAGGGGATGCCTAGAAACAATACATGTTTCTTTTAATCTAACTTTCTATGCTGGCAGCTTACGTCTCAAGTCAGTGCTGACAGGAGCTCTAACAAGGAACCCTGCTTTAGATTCCCCTGATAATAAAATCTTGTTTGCATATATAATCATAAATACTCTGGGTTGGAACAGGAAATAATTTTATAAGAATGAATATGATTTACAGTTCTACAACAAGCGACGATACTGCAGTGTTCATAAAAGGGCAGGTTTGGGGTAAAATCAGTAATCTATTTCAACCAATTCAAATGCCAATAACCCATCTGCTAAGTCTCTTTATTTTATATCAGTCTGCCATTTTCTCTTAGTGGTAGCATCAATAAACATTGTTGGTAATCATCTGCTTGTGCTCTAATGTGGCATATTCAGTTTCATTGAACAAAGCCAGGCTGAAGATCCCTGAAGGAAAACAAAAAGTGAGTTGTTTAGTTGTGATTCAGACCCATGTCTCTGATTTAAGAATGACTCAAGTTGCATAATCACCAAACCTGAACATAAAAAGGTTTTATGATATACAAAGCTAAATGCTAATAACAGCTGTTTTATTTATTCCAAAGCATTTTTCAATTACATGGGGTTCATTTCTTCATTTTTTCAAGTGCAGTGGAACATTTTAAAAAAAGCCATTAATTTGAGGAGTTCACTAAAAATAGTATCTGTATCTGATGATGTATAACAGGATTCCAGCTGGAGAATACCACTTTGATTTATGAAAGAATTTGTTTCTCTTTCCCTGCTTTCAGATAGATTTGTAATCCACAGAGACGAAATGCTGGATACCTAAGTCTAGATTCAGGTTTCCCTTAGCTGGCATTTGCCATAAAATTCCCAAATACATCTAGCATACTCATAGTCTGCAGCCAGAGATAACCTAAAACATTATAACAAACTTGGGTTTTGCTTCTCTAGCACTGTAAAATTACAATAATGTAATTAATCACAGACATTCATAGTTACAATAGGCCTGATAATCAGTAGTGAAGGGCCACTTACTCTGAGAAACTTGGAGATTATAAGCCCTGGCTTGCACAGTAACTTCAAAGCCTCACAGGTTTTGCGTTTCCAACAAGATGTTTGGGTTTCTAACAGGAAGAAGTCAACAACAAACTTGTGTCCTTCAGCCTTAAAAGGTTTATCAGTAAGACAGAGAGGATCAAAAACAGTCCAATTATGAGAGCAACCTGATGCACACGTTAACATAAAGCTGGAATACCAGCCTGGAAAGGAACCTTCAGGAACCAGTTAGGTTTCTTGACACTGCTTGCTTCTTCTAACAAACTTCCTCCATTTAAAAAGCCATTTCCAAAAAATCTGCATTCTCTGATATGAAAATGTTCCCTTACAGATTATTGTCAGAACAGGCAGCTTTTCTCATGGCCCACCAGGCCCTCAACAGTGCCATGCTCCTGGAGGTCCACTACAGAGGTGGAGAACACAGAGCTCAGCACCACTGAGGAGCAGGAGATGAAGGCTGGAGCAGGCTGTAACCTGCCAGCTCTGCCATGAGGACAGACCCTGTCAGAGATTCACATGCCTGTCAGCTAATACTGTACCCTGCCCTGGCATTGTAATGGAAACGGCTGTGCTTTCTGAAGGCATCATCTCTGACATGAGACATAAAACCACACATGTTTGTCATTTCTATATTTAACATACCGATGTTGAGCTTGGGGATGAAAGAATAGCTTCTGCTACCATAGATCAGAAATGTCTTTTGAGAGGTGGCATGTAAAACCATATCCCCAGAAAAGATGTTTAGTTACACTGTTCTCCCAAATGACTAGAAACCACTTTTCAAAGGAGAGACTGCAAAGGTACAAATATACCAAGTTTACAAATTATATTCTTGTACATCTGTACAGTCACCAATGACAAAAAAAATCTATGATCTCAGCAGAGAACCACTGTTAAGGTATCAAAATCACCTAAATAATCTATTACATTTATATTTCAAATAATATTATTTACCGTAGTATTTATAATGTGAATGACCCTTTTATGTTAAACAAGCATCTTGTTGTCTAAGATGCTTAGACTTTTATACATACATAAAAATAAAAAAAAAAAAATACCAGCCATTGGGAAAAAGCAAATTAACTAGTAACATTCAAATATTGTTCATATTATGTAATTAATTCTGTAGGTGTGGCTTGATCATATACAACATAATAGATTATTTGGAGCACGGGCACTGGCAAGCCTGCTGCAGTCCCAGCTGGCCTGCTGCCTGGGCTATACATTTTTTGTGCAAGAAGTAAATCCTGCTTTAAAACACTACTTGGGCCTGAGATTTACTATTTGGCAATGTCACCTACATTGATGTCCACGCACAATGGCACAGCTGTAGGAAATGTGGCAGCTGAGAGAGCCAGCTCTGGCAGCAATCCCCGCCGGAGGGACCGCTGCCGCCCAGGGAGACTCCAGGAGCCACCAAAGGGAATGGCAGTTCATGCCAGAAAAACAGCAGTGACACATTCTCCCCATCCTCTCCCTGGTGAAATGAATAGACCATTAGAAGCCAAAAAGGAAATCTATATTGAGATACTGCTAATGTTCTAACAAAGTGACACAAAGAAGTTACACCTCTAACAACTCACCTTCTTCCTACTCTAGGTATTTATAGCAATCTCTCAAATTTGACTGATATACCATAGTCTATTAATTGTGCTGATCCCCCCACCCCTCGCCTCCTCAAAAAAAAAGCAGGATAAACAAGGGGCAAAGTGAAAATTTTAAAATAGAATTTCCTCGCTTCAGTTTATTTAAGTTAGATATTTAGGACTGAGCTTATCAAGCCAACTGGTGGGCATCCTGCACATGGCATAGCACCTAGCACCAGCTTCCTGCATGTGCTGAATCATGGCAACTGATTTTACAGGAGCCGGTGGTACAGTCACATACCACAGAGCAGAAACAAGCTTTTTATTATGACAGTCTCTTAATTAGAAAGTTGCTAATAAACCAAGTAAAAAAAAAAACCCACAATTGACTGATTATTAAATTACCTTAGAATAAAATGTGCTGTTACTATACTTGAGCTAGAACTGTGCAAGTAAATATCTCCAAAAGAAAAGGCAAAGTCTTCTATAACAGAAACCAATTTGATATGGAAATGGGTCAACAGTTGCTTAAGATGTAGCACAGTTTTGATTTGATCTGCTATATTTGGACTCTGTAAGAGGCGCTTCCAGTAACATCGGTATTGCTTATACATGAGACTTTTGCATAATCACTGTATGAAGCATTAGAATTCTTCAAACCGAGAATGATTTTCAAAACGATTATATATATCTATGTTAATAATGTGGATTCGACAGTGTTTGCTGAAGAAAAAGAACAACTGTTTTCTAAAACAATTAGGATTCATAATACATTGCTTGGCAGACTATTGTTCAAAAGCCCACACAGTCCTTATCCAAAAGAAGCCCAGATGCAGCCATGGGCACCAAATTATACTTAGGACTTAGGTCAGAACACACACTGGTCAAACAAGCAGAAATATAGAAATAAGTGGACGTACATTCGTGTTACAAATGAAATCCTGTATTTGTAGCAAGCTGTTTTGTATATTGCTGCTTTTCAGACATTATAACAATTTGAGTTATTCTTAAGGAAACAATCAAATTTCATTTCAAGATTTTTCTTTTGATACAATGATATTGTGAAACATTTTTTACTTCCACGTATTTCAGCTGTTAGCTTTCTAGTACACCTTGATATTTTTGTGGAGTCTCTGGAAAACTTTGTGTCACCAGAAGAACTAATCTGATTTCACTCCTGAAAACCATGAAAGATCATTTCACCATGCTTACCACCATGTCAGGGAACCTACCCCAGCCAGCAGGAAATGTTCCTTCTTTTTTTCAAGCTTGGCCTCTACTCACCCTTGCTACCGATGCAATTGTGTTGGTTCTTCTTTGCCTTTGCATTCTGATCTTGGGAAGGAGAACACACACATGAAATATCTTCCTTTAAGTACACAGTAACAGCAAATATGAGCATGCACTTTCTGAAAGCAGAGTGCAGGCATTAAATCAGCTATTGACTCCTGCAGAGCGACCAAAGGAATTTGACCTTGGCCATGGATGAGGTCCTAGCTGCGTTCACAGCACAGAGCCACGATCAGGTGCTGGGCATGAGCAGCCTTAAAAACCAAGAATTATAGGGACCATTTTCAATTTATCTGTGTGTGCTGTTTGACACTGAAAAAGAACGCATCCAGAAAATATTATCGTATGTCATAACATTAGCATATTATGTCTGCAGAGACATAAATGAGCTATTGTAGCCATAGTAAGCCAGAGGTTTGCTGAAATTAAAGGGAAACGGGAATGCTAGACCTTTACACAGACAACAAAATGAAACAAAAAATGCACCAGGCTATTTGTGATTAATAATAGTGCCTCTAAAATCAACATGAATCAAAATTACACGTGTTACTAACCTTTACAGAGTCCACATGAATATCCATTGGATTTTCCTGTCCGTTCTGCACCTTATAAGCCAATAAAGATGATATTCTGAGAACAAAAGTCTCTACAATACATGTCTCCACCAGGGTACAGCCCACTCTCTTGAAGCACATTTTAACCTAATAATTCCTATAGCATATTGCAATTTTTAGACTAACTGCTATTAGTGAAAACCAAACTATTCAATCCTGTGTCTGGCTCTGTAACAGATGTCATACATATTGTTTAACAAGTAGTTCATGTCTCTTGACACCATTTTACCACTTGTAAAATAAGAATGCTATGAGATCATTGAATGGTAGACATTATAGAAGTAAAAAGCATTGACTATTATTTGTTGTTTTATTATTATTTAATGTAGCATATGGATGCAAAATTCTGGCTTGTTTGACCAGGAAGACAGCCCTATATGTTTAAAATTAAATTAGCATAGAAAAAAATTAAGCAAACAGACTATCTCAAACAGGAAATGAAATAAACAGTATGGAGCTCTTTAAATACATAACAAGTAATCAGCAAAAGGGCTGTGAACGGAACCTGAGTGGGAAGCTTGTGACCAGTGAGGCTGATACTGCTGGAAGCCTGAATGAAAGTTAAAAGGCTCCATGACTAGGCCAGACTATACAGGCAATTAGAAGTGCTGAATGTTGCCAAGGCATCAGGCCAACAAGAATTACAACTCAACAAACTGAATGAAGGAGAGTGGGGGGAGGAAAAAAAAGAAAAAGGAAAAAAAAAGGAAAGGCTTTAATTAAATATTTGAGATCTCACAAGGGATGGGGAAAGTGCCAGGTAACTGGAAGATGGTTAACTAAACAGAGGGGGTCTGTTCACTCATTAATGCGTGGGGGAATTTACAAGTGTAACTTCTACTACCATTAATTGGAGCTACAGTAAATGAGTGATGCCAGTGTATACTGGTGGGGAAAGACTGTTGTTACTTAGGCTGGTCTTACCTGGTAAGGGTTCATTGAAGAGTTATGGGATGATTTATGGATCTGAATGGAAAAACGTCACCAAGATGGAACTTCTAGGAATAAAAATTTCTGCTACTTTAAGCACAGGGTGATCCCAGAATAATGAGTTATTTTCTTAAGAACTTTTCCTAGCAATGTTTTTTCAGAATTGTGTAAATATTTACACTACCCTGCAACCCAGAAAGCCCAAAATAACCATATGGGACATGTGTCAGTTTTAGAGTGGATTAAAAATCTTCATTTCTGCAGTTGCTTGTCAGAAGGGTCACCAGTTGGGATGATTTGATTGTGCCTGTGCTGAAATGAAATAGGGAAATTAAGACAGCAGGCCATTCACCTGTGGAGAAAGAGCAAGAAAGAGGAGCACAGAGCTACTTGTGAAGACACCAAACCCTGGGAAGGGTGGGGTAAGAACTCCAAGTGTACTCTGTCACCAATGGATCCATTTTAGAAACTCCATAGATGCAATTACTTCAGGTAAGCTTATATGTATTTTTATGCAGCTCCAAGTTTCATGGCTTTGACAAGACCTATCACAGGTCAAACCTTATATACGTTAGTTATAATACATCATTTTTCTGTACACTGTTCCTCCATTAAATCTGAAATTTGTTCAAAACAGAATTTTAAGCTTCATTGTTCCTATAGCACTACAATTAAGGCAGAAATTACTTACCAGCTAAGCAGAGATTCATATTTTTTTCAGCCACAGTCAAAGAAACTTTGGAATATGTAATATATGCTATATATTTTCAGAGCCCATGAATGAAAACCAGAAGTAAAATTTGAATAACTCTTTCAGGTACATAAAATGGAGAAATAAAGGCCAGGAAGCTCATGTGATGGTCCTATGTTGGTTGTTTTATCATTATTTCTAAGTGAAAAGGAGAAACCACCAGAGTTTCAGAGCATGGCATTTAAAAAAGGGCAGAATTCAGCATCTGTTCTCCACGTGACTATATATCACGGGATGGTTTAGAATAAGGAATCTATTAAACAAAAAACACAAGTAAGAAATGGCTATAAGCCTTCACAGTCTTGAAGCCATATAAAATCTCATTAAAACTCAGACTGAGATGTTCAAGAACTTGATGTCTCAAGTGAAATGTGTACAAGCACATTTAAAATGATTTAATATTCTCAACATTTACTAATGCTTTACCAGAAAGGGTGGCAGGTAGCCACCTCAATAAGTCCAGTGTTACTTAAATTTGGACTCCTATTTCATTATAGGAATAACAGAGTACAGAAGAGCATTAGAACAATAAATTAAAATTATTACTACAACCAACAAAGAATGAGAACTATAGACACTGAAGTGTTTACAGTGCTTTAAGACAAATTTCTAGACACCTCTACAGTATTTACCTTACAAAAAGTAGCTGCCAAGAACTATTCACTCTTTTTTTCTTGCCTACCCTCATGAAAATATAGGCATCTGTAAAGGACAAAACACACCCACATTTACAATTGCTATGAAAGAGAGTTTGTTTCAAAAGTACATCCTTTATGGCCATAACAGAATTAAATACTAGATACAAATCAATTCAACTATTATTTTCATATAGAACTTAAATGCTGACACAAGAACTAGTCAATGTTACTAGCCAAATCTGTTAAGTTTCTTAAAATTAAGATGGGAAAAATTGGAAAATTTTCACATTAAGGTGGTGGGCTATATTGTAGCTTAATTTATAATTTCCAGGCGTATAAGGCAAGCATAGACAGACCATATGTCTTTTCTTGGCCTTTAAATGCTCCTATTTTCCACTAGACTTGCCTTTTTCTCCATCTATTGGCAACCATACCATTTGCTATTCAGGTGATTGGCTGTAATGAGCCAACTCCTGTTTCCATATGAATAACCACTTTTTTCCCCAATTACTTAAGCTGCCAGCAAGTCACTGGTGTCATGTTCTCTGATGCAAATCTGACTGTCAATAGAGAACAGGACTACATAAAGGGAGAATTTATGATGATACCCTTAGCTTAATATTTTTTTGTAAATGCTATTCAGTTTAGCTTCCAAGGAACATGGGGAAGGCAGCAATGGTCCACAGTAAGAAGTAAGAATATCTTTAATTGGCTTTGTGCTCCACATGCCCTTGTAATCAGCCTTCCCATATGGTAGTCTGAAATAAATTTATCAATCTCAATTTATGTATTTATGTCACTTTAAAAGGTCCATTTTAGTCAATATCAAAATCTATAAAATGTCACATTTAATTTTAAAATTGTAATTAAAAGAGTTAGAACACCGAATATATAATTTGATATTTACAATTTTTTGAAATAAGCAGACACACAGAAAAGCATGGAGAGGGGATTTTCTGAGGCAAATGAACACCAGTTATTAACAATACAAGAACTAAATATTAATTTTAACTTACTTTTTTAAAAGGTCATTTTTTATTAAATCATTCTTTAGTAGGCTTGGATATTTTTTCACTTAAAGGGAAACAGCTTACATTTTGCAAGCCAGGGGACCTTATTCTTGAAATTCAGCATGATAAGTGTGATCATGGGGTAAGGGGCAGATTCCTTGATGGTGTTGGCACTCCTGACTGCAAGCACCATGTTTAACAGTAAATAGCTACAGACTAGGCTATTTTCCATTATACAAATTGCAATATTAAAATTCTAATACAAAACAATAAAAGCAATATTACCCACTATTCAAAGCTTTGTCCATTTACTGCCTACCTTCAAACCCATATCACTTCAGGATGCCTCTCCAGCTCTCTATCAAGTAGATTTTCCAAGTGTTGTTCATTTTTTCCAGGTGATTCCAGTTATACACCATTTTAAGCATCTGAGTAATTTCTTGAACATCTGCTTCTGCAATATAGACACCAGAAGCCAATCTAAAGAGAAAGACAAATTCAATATATATTTAAAACTTTTTTTGGCCCTACAAACTTCAGATTCAGTTCTGCATGCTTTCAGGTGCTCTCAGCTTGGACTTTACCTATTGAATAATTAGCTCCTGTAGGAAGTTCTTTTGTAACAGCAGGTGTCCTTAACAACCATTGCTCTTTCGTTGAAAGGGCTTCTGGATTCATTTTTTTTATCATTGGAAACACAATAATAAGTTATTGTTTACATAAGGTTGACAGCACTTTTCACAGAGCTAAGACAAAACAAGCTAAGAGCTAAGACAAAACAAGAAGCCAGCAAAGGGAATAGAGGTAAAAAGAAAAAAATTTTCTTTAGCAGTCTGCTGAGAAGTAGATTACCTTTGACTGTGCTCATTTACAAACAGGAAAAGTCCTGTCTAATATCTGTAAGTAAAAAGAGAAAATACATGCTAAACCTGAAATTCATTAGTGAAACATATTTAATACCAAATGAAACAAAACAGTAATGTTAAATTCAGTGGGCTTAATTAACCTCAGAAATAGAAATATCATTTTAAATTGTTTAATGGCAACCTGGATTTTTTTTTATTATTATTGGGCTAAAACCTGATTTTAGGAGCACACATAAAGTCAGAGCAGCTCACAGGTTTCTCTTATTACTCAAGACCAGGTCTGGATTAGACTGCACTAATCAGGGATTTGAATAACACATAAATAAAAAAAAAAACAGTTGTAATTCATTAACTTTGGTACAGAAGTTAATTAGAATTTTTGCAAATAATTTTTAGGAGTGTTTTCACCGATGCTTTTTCAAAGGTGTCTTAAGACTGTTGCCCATTATAATGTGTATATACTCAAGCAAAACTAGCTGCCACAAACTCTAAAGGAGCATTGCTTATCAGGTACCAGAACAAGGGCACTTGAGCCCTGAAAGGAACAAAGAGATGCCTGACTGGATTTCCCAAAATTAGGGTACCTGCCTGTTCTCTAGCTGCCTAAATGCTTTCAAATCTTTTAAATTCTAATGGACTAATGCAAGGCACAGACTAGCTGGTGCCTACATTTGAAATCTGCTCTCAAACCTCATTTGCAGATTGGCCAGATGGTCATTAGTGTGGAGGTGTTCTACAGGCAGACTTGCTTTCAGGGCAGGGTTTTTTAAATTTTGGAGGGGGTTGGGGAAGCAGAAAAGGAAATCTTTTTTGGGGTTTGGATTTATTTTTTTTTTAATTTGGGGGGGAGTGTTGTTGGGTTTTTGTTTTTCAGTTCAGATTAGTAACAGCTAGGAAAGGGTGAATAAAAACTGAGCTACAACAAAATATTCTCTAGTTTGGTGTATTTAAGAAAGTGCTTGCAATTTAATCCAGAGAGACCAATAAACAGAAGACTAAAATAAAAAGGCAGAAGGCTGTAGTGTCAAAGTGCTGTTAAAGTACATGAGAAAAGCAATTCACTTGGGGTTCAATGTAACACTTCTAATAATGAGCTTCCCATATTTAGACACAAGAGATAGCAAATTCAAACCCCCTGGAAAGGATACAATACAGTTATACAACAACATAGCAAACTGTATTTGTTTTGTTATTACTACCTATGCACCCTATGGTTTCTTTAGGGAAGATGATATGATATCTTTATACAATAGTGTGTAAAACAGTCTGAAATCTCTCTTTGACACCAGTAATGCACCAAAATCCTTCCTAAATATTGAAAGACCTCCAACTTGATGCTAAGCTTGATCTTACTCATCACTAAAAAAAATAAATGTTTTGTTACTGCATTTCTCTCTGAGAGGTTTTCAAAATCCTTCCAGTCAGTACATGAGATAGGATACATATTGTCGGGGATAAGTTGTTAAAGTGAATTTGAAATGTGCTTCTCAAAATATCGTTTACACATTTACCAGATGGTAAAATAAACATGTAAATTGTTATCGAGTATACACCAACTTTATACTACAATTTTACCCACTGTAGAAATGGTGTAAAAATGTTGAATATAGTGTTACTTGTTCATTTAATAGTTTATTAACATTTTAAATACATTTGGAGAATAGGTTTACTTTCAAAGAAAAAAAAAATACTTACAAAAGCAGCATTTTAAGCTATTAATCAGGCCAAATTAATGTACTGACTTCTACATTTATAATATACCTTATCAATAATATAATTAACATAATTATAGTTGGTTTCTAAGTATTTGCATATGCATAGAGGTTGCATATGTTTAATGGTATGGGTTTTTAAAAGACAAATCTAAGTTGAACAAAGGAATTTTAAGAAGTATAGTTACCAACATCTCAGTTAAATGATGTGTGTTTTGGGGTTGTCCTGTGGAGACTCGGGGTTTGGGTTCAATGGTCATTGTGGGTCCCCTTCAGCTGAGGATATTCTATGATTCTGTGATTTGTAAGTAGCTGCTACTAGACCAACAGGTCACTTTGTTACTGGAATTTCCTATTTCAAGACCCACCACACACGTTCAGAAATAGGAAGATGTGAATACTTTATGTATGACAAAGTAGAAGGCGTGTGCTAACAAACCCTCTCTCAAAGAAGAGAGAAATGCAACTCTTTAGCAGTATGGGGGAATTAAAATCTCCAACTCAAGGAGTAACCCTTGTCCTTCTCTAAAATATGAGTTCCCGTGCATGTAATCACTAGCAAATGACCCTGCTAGAAGACAACAAAGGATTTTGATGGAAGACTGTGGCTTGTACTGGTTATGATTGGTCTCTCCTTTTGTAATTCTATTTCTACCAACCCAGCACATCAATTACACTGTGCTATAGCATTTTCTTTCTCACATTTCAGACTATGCCAGCTCCTTTTTTTAGAAAAATAATAGTCAGATTTAGGATCTTTCCTCACATACGATGACACATATTGACTCAGCATATTTTCAGTCTTATGCCCCCAGCAGACTCTGAATTATTTACTCCTTAGAAAAGAGCGTATCAACTACTATATCTAGTCATATATCTAATGACTTCTTTGGTCAATCCACAGTAGGGGTTTGGCTTCTCACACATCTTGTTGGAATTATTTTTTTCAGCAACTTTTCACAGCAGCTAAATTCAGTCTGACACCAGTCATAAAGCTCCTGTTTACGATTCCATTGTGGCTTTACTATCATATGCCCTCAGCAATAAGGTGTTACCACACAAATACAAAATATACATGATTCTCAAAAGTATTAGCACAGAGCTAATACTTAAGAGATAAGTTGACATTATTAATGGATTCTGGAGGAGTGTGAATATCTAACAAATATCCTCTATTAGTAGGTGCCACAACATAAACTCTTAACCAAAATTATCTTTAAATAATATCACCCCTATACAAGGAGCTAGCAGAAAAGTGGTAGACAATTGACTTTAACAAACCTCTCTGGTTTTCTGACTCATACTAGGAAAACCTGTAATTTGAGATTCAGAGGTCAAAACCTGTTCCACATCGGGTGCTTTATCAGTGCTCCAGAAGAATCCTCCAGAGAAAGCCAATTGCATGTCAGCACATTTAAAACACCCACTTGGAATGTCCTGCTCTACAGAATCACAGAATCATCAAGGTTGTAAGAAACCTTTGGGAACATCTACTGCAACCACCAACCCAGTACCACCATAATCACCCCTAAGCCATATCCCCAAGTGCCACATCCAGACTCCCTGTGAGCATTTCCAATGAGAACTCCAACACCTCCCTGGAAAACTTATTCCAATGCCTAACCACTCTTTCAGTGAATTTTCCTTTAACAGTATCTAATCTGAACTTTCCCTGATGCAAAGTAAGGCCATTTCCACTCATCCTTTTGCCTGGGACATGGCAAAAGAGACCAAACCCTACCTCACTATCACCTGCTTTCTGGGAGCTGTAGAGAGCAACCTATCTTTCAGATTATTCTCTGCAGATGAAGCATTTTGCAAAGATAAAGAAAAATCTTTGATCATACTGAAAAGACAATAATAAGGGTTTCATATGGGAATGAATTATAATTTAACTTCCTTAAATATCCCAGAGTCTCTGGAAAGGTCTGGTTTAGAAATCACTAAGCAGAAACGTAAGTTCAAACTTGAAGAAATAGTCTAAGTGGGATAGGGAGAAGATAGATGTACACAAGCAGGAGGTATTCAATTAGCACACAATTACCAGCATACCACTATTATGAATCAAGAAAAATATGAGGAAGCATAAAAGTCTGATTACCAAAATCCATTGTGCATTCAAGGCATGCAATGGCTTTGGTGTACACACAGGTACTATAGACTGAAACACTAAACATGAGAGGGAGCTGCCGAAGAAAGCAATGTCTTCAAAGCCTGAGCCATGGAGAACCAAACACCTCTGCCAACTAACTTCGAAGCAGAGCCTGAGCCAACACTTCTGTAAAGACAGGGTGAGCACTGAAAACTTGTAGCATATGCTGCTATTTACATAACTAATTGTAGCATGCACAGTCAAAAAACAGCCTCTAGCTTTAGCATATACATGCAAAATAATTGATTTTATTATGTACAGAAAATTAGAAGCTGTCAGAAACAAAGCCACTAGTAACAGCCGCGAGGAAGAATTTCAAAGTTTCATCGCCTAGATTGCAGAGGCTAGTCTTCACACAGTTGTGAGGTTTACAGCTAGAATATAAATCTAGACAAGATTCAGTGACAGCTGATACCCCATCCAAGCTTTCGGTAAAACTGACATACACACACACCATAGACTGATGGCGGAGACACTCAAGAAAAATATTCCCAGTCTCAGACTAGCTGTGGTTTGTCATTGCAGGCATTGTAATACAAGATTAAACTTTGCAGAGGATATTGCAAATATAATATCAACCTATTCTTACACAAAATAAAAAGGAAGAAAAGTATGATGGGATGGAATAAAAGCACTGAGTTGCTCCTAAATCACCGATGAATAATAAGAGGACAGCAAGATGGAGAAAAATACATAAGAAAAAGCTGCATTACACTGATATTTTTCTATGGAAAAACAAAAACAAAAAAAAAAAACCAAAACAAACAAAAACCAAAAAACATAAACCTCAGTATTTCTGAGGCAAAACAGGGCATATATGTAAAAAATATGCATAATGGTTATGGCTTCTATCACTCAGAAATAATATTATTTGAGACAATATTTAATCCTACAGATTAGTACTATATTGGTTTAACATGACACACTTTTCTTGCAAGTACAGGGTGGACAACAATTTTTTACAAGTTTAAAAATTTTTATAAAATAGTAAATTTTAAGTAGGTTATTTTAAGATATCATCTTGCCAGTAACCTCTTTGAAAATGGTGTTAAAATTCTAATTTATTTTTTTTTAGTCGAAAAGCTATTGCAAATCAAAGTTAGATCAGCAGAGGCCCCATAAATTGTAATGCAACACCCATAAAAATAGGACTTCACCTGTTACATG